TGTTTTATCTCCTTTAAGGGTGCAAAAAATAAACAAAATACAGTGGCTTTACAATCATTAGAAAGACAGCTCAGTAAATTAGAGAATGCTACAAAACCTTCTTTAGAACTGCACAAGAAAATATTAAATCATTAAATCTTATACATCAGATTATATCTGAAAAGTTTTCAAGATCTTTAATGTTTATGAAACAACAATATTTCGAATTAGCGAATTAGGCACACAAACTATTATCTACAGTAGACAGCTACGAAAGCTGGAAAGTGACCGTACAATCCATTGAATTAAATCAAAATTCGGGGCTTATTTATTATCTCCTACAGAAATTAACAATCGATTTAAACAATTTTATGAATCATTGTACACTAGTAATATAACTGATGATTCTTCCACTATGGAGACCTTTTTAAACAGCTGTAATCTAACAACGCTGGACCAAGAGGATAGAGAATTTCTTGGAGCTGATTTAACATTAGATGAATTAAAGAACACCATAAAGTCACTTAAAGGTGGTAAATCACCCGGCCCTGACGGAGTCCTTTGCGAGGTATATAAAACATTTAACAATCTATTGGGACCCTATATGCTTAGAATGTTCTCCCAGGCTCTGGAGGTGGGACGACTACCTCAGTCGTTTAATGAAGCGTCCTACCTAAGAAGCAGTCCTACCTAAGAAGGGCAAAGATCCAGAGGAGGTTGGGGGGTATAGGCCAATATCTCTCATTAATGTGGACCAAAAAATTTTAGCTAAGACATTAGCCACTAGACTCAATACGCTTTTAGGAAAACTAGTGAATCCTGATCAGACCGGATTTGTTTCAGGTCGTAGTTCTTTTAATAATCTTCATCGTTTGTTTAATATTTTATACTCTTCCCAGACTAATCGATCCAATCTGGTGATTTTGTCCTTAGATGCCGAAAAGGCTTTTGACCAAGTAGAATGGCCTTACCTCTTCGCTCTGCTACAGAAATTCCAAGTAGGAGAGAAATTCATCACTTGGCTCAAAATTCTATATAAAAACCCTAGGGCACGTATACTCACAAATATAATTTTCTCACCATCTTTTGCTTT